ATAAATCAAACATTTTCCTAGCAAACATCAAATAACATAAAATAAAAAACAATAGACAGCAGAATTAAATTACCAGGGCAATGGTAGGCAGCCCAATTTCAAAAAAAAAAAAAAAGAAGAAGAAGAAGAAGAAGACAAACCAGGCACAAGCAGCTATTGAGAGAAAGGAGCAGGGGATGGGAGGGGAATGGCTTGAGAGATGAGAATCGGTACCACGACGCTATTTGAGCAGCTTGTGAGAGGTCCTGTGACGACGAGAGGAAAAAAGGTGGTTCTGTCGATTTCAGTATGCGGAGGGAGTCGAGGCTTGCCAATTTTGCGGCCATGACGGTCGTGGTGGAGCTTTCGGGAGAATAACAGAGAAGAAGCCGACATGGGAAATTATCACAGCTTTTTACAGAGAACCAGAAAGTAGGGGGAAGAAGAAAGGAGAGGCGGAGACGAGAAGATAAGGAAAAGTTAGGGCTAACCCGTTTGATTTAAAGGGAACGTGGATTTTTTGCAACGTTTTTTAAAATATTTTTTAAAAAACATTGCGAAAAGATCAGAAAAAATAAAAAAAACATTGTGAAAAACGTCTTTCGCAACGTGAAAGATGCTTTTCGCATCTGTAACGTTTAAAAAACGTTGCGGAAAATAAAAAATTTCGCAACACTTGAAAAACGTTGCGAAAAAACAATATTAGCAACATTCACTTAAAAAATGTTGCTAAAACTCAATTTTGTTAAGTAATGGCAACATTCACGTATTAGAATGTTGCGATAGATCCCTTTAACAATATTTAACTATCAAATGTTGCCTTTTATGTGTTGCAAATTGTATTTTTTTGGTGTACTTAAGGAGGATGGTTATTGGTAAATGGGAAGTGACAATTGGTTTGGACTGTAATGGAGTCTGGTTTACGTCAGAAATGCAAAAAAACAAAGAGCCTCGCCGCATCTCCCACGAATGGAGACAAACCCAGATAACAAAGAAAAGAGCTCTCTTCAAGCGGTCCAATTACTCTCTCTCTCTCTCTCTCTCTCTATACGTGTACATGCATGAATACACATGAGCTGCTTGTATATAGAAAGATATGTATGTAATGTATGAAAATTAGAGAGAGAATTGAGGTGCTTTGAATTATAGAAAAAGGCTGATGCACCGCTGGCGTGCACCATTGAGGTTGAAACGTATGGATACTGGCGCAGAATCAGGTGACTAATGGAGAAAAAACGGGCACAAGGTTTTGTTTTGGGCTGTATTTGTATTTCTTTCTCTCTCTTCTTCTTCAAAAAGTTCAAATAAAAACACACACTCTCTCTCTAAAATACAGTAAAACCGATTTGAACTTATCTGCTTGCAACAAAGGTAATTAAAAAAAGAGAATGGAACTTCCCAGTACACCAGAACCATTCATGGTGGTTGTTGAGTTTTCAGAATTTAACTTTGTTTAAAAAAAGAGAATGGAACTTCCCAGTAGACCAGAACCATTCATGGTGGTTTTTGCGTTTTCAGAATTTAACTTTGTCATTTAGGGTATCTTGGCTTCTAGTTCATCTTCTCTTTCTTTAAATCTTTCTATAAATTCCTAGAATACTCGAATGATTCTAGGAAAGTTTGAGTTGATCCATTTGTGTCTAGTTCTTGTTTAAGGATTTTTTGTAGTAAGCATAGATTAATGAAGAGAGGTCGTTTTCTGTGAGATTTGAATAGAGAATTAATCCCAAATGTTTTATGTTTTGCAAGTTGTGTAATGGGCCCTTGAACTTGCTTCCTTAATCAGTTACAAAGCACTCTTCTTCCTTATCCGCACACAGCTTACTTTCTTCTCTCCTCTTTTTCTCTCTAGAATAAGTATCCAATGAAATAATTTCAACCAAATTAAAAGTCCCAGAATTTGATTTTGTATGTTAAATTTCAGTGAAGGAAGGATGATTAAGGATAAAGGCTTGCAAGTTGAACAAGATCTGCACAATGGAAATGAAGTGAAAATGGAGGAGATGATGGCGGTTATGAACCCTAATGGTTTTGTTGTTATGGAGGAAGATCATCAAGGTGAGAAAGATTTATGGCTTGATGATAGAGAGCAAGAAAATCTTCTTGATTTGAATGATGCAACAATTTTTTACAATGATTTTCCGCCTCTACCGGATTTTCCGTGCATGTCATCGTCCTCTTCGTCGTCCTCGACCCAAGCGCCGAAAAAAGCCGTAACCGCCACCACAACAGCTTCTTCTTCAACGTCATCTGCGTCTCAGGCGGATTCTTTCTCTTTTTTGAAGTCAGATACGACGGAAGATACTCACGAGAGGGGAAAATTCCAGCAGTACAAGTGCGATCAGGTGAAACCAGAGCCTACCGCTTTGTCCTCCACCGCCTCCATGGAGATCCCTCGACCTGAAGACACCATAGGTGATGTTGATTGCATTAATGTTATGGAAGATTTTGGGTACATGGATCTGATTAATAGTAATGAAATTTGGGATCCATCTACCGTTTTCCCTATGGAAAACGCTCAAGAGTATTTTGTTTTAAACCAGCAGCCACAACTTGACGGGCAAGTTCAGAAGAAGCGAAGTCAAGATGAGGACAATGATGGGTTCAGTTTCTTACAGGGTAATAGTGAACTTGCCATGATATTTTTTGAATGGTTGAAACAAAACAAAGATCATATTTCTGCAGACGATATGAGGAATATAAAACTGAAGCGTTCCACCATTGAAAGTGCTTCGAAACGTTTGGGAAGTAATAAGGAAGGGAAGAAACAGCTTTTGAAGCTCATACTGGAGTGGGTTGAGCAATACCAGCTTCAGAAAAAGCGGCTAAGAGGCTGTGGCAGTGGTGGGCCACAATCACCTTACGAGCACTATCAAGAACCCGATCCAAACCCTAACTCCAATTTTAATTACAATTCAGTTTCTTCTAATCCCAATGCTTGTTTCTCTTCCTCCCCGTGGATGGCTGCGCCTCCTCATCCTCCTCCACCGTCTTTTGTTCAGGACTCCTCCGCAGCTATGGTTGCACCACCACCACCTTCCTCCGCATACGGTGGTGATCCTTATTCAAATGCTGTTCCTGTTTCTGTTAATCCACCTGTGAATCAAGCTATCAATGAAATTCCATATACATATCCACCTGAATATCAAATGATGGAACATGCGCAATCCTGGCCTTCATCGCAATTTCCCATTTCGTCGCCCCAGTACAATCCTTACCTCGAAAATGGCTATATCCCACAAGGAATTCCCCAGGACCAATCTGTGTATAACAGAAACCCATATCAGATTTTCGACACCAATGGTGAAAGATTGGTAAGATTGGGATCTTCTGCAACTAAAGAGGCCAGGAAGAAGAGAATGGCCCGCCAAAAGCAGCTTTACCCCCACCATCGCCGCCACCATACCCATCATAATCAGCAACAAAATCAAGCCAATGTTGATCATCGTGCCATGGATATCCGAGAAAATATCAGCCATGGTAGTCCCTCCGTTAATTGGGTGTACTGGTCTCCTCCCCATACCTCTTCTCCTTCAAATGGAGGAATGATCCCATCTCCCAATGCATCTCAAGGGCATGCTGCGGATCAACCCTCCTCGCAGCAGCAAAATTATCAGAGACAAGCTTCTTCGAATCGGATGCAGCAGCAGGTTGATTTTCTAGCCTTAAACTTCTCATTCGGATTATCCATTAAATTGAAATTTACTTGTCCAACGAAAAAACAAAAAATATCAATCAAGGCGCGTTTTTGATCCGTTACAATTATCCCATAAAATTTCTATGAATGGACTGTGAATTTTGTTACTCAAAAAGGTATCTTCTCGTGTTTGTGCATAGGGTTGGAAGACGGAAAAGAACCTGAAATTTTTGCTTCAGAAAGTCTTAAAGCAAAGTGATGTTGGTAATCTGGGAAGGATTGTGTTGCCTAAAGTAATCTCTTTAAACTTTTATTAGTTTTTTTTAATTATAATTGCATTATTTATGGTACATTTGTAATTCTTATCTCTATCTAATTAATTAAATTTGATAAAAGTTGAACTTTTGATTTATCAGAAAGAAGCAGAAAGCCATCTCCCAGAGCTGGAATCTAGGGATGGAATTTCAATCACCATGGAAGACATTGGAACATCGCGTGTTTGGAATATGCGCTATAGGTACGTTTATGTTCATTGTATCAAATCGAATATACCCCTTCAAATCTGATTTCTGCATATTTTTGAAATCGGAAGATGTTAGCAAGGCAAATTCATTTTTTTTTTCCTTTTTTCAGTTTTTTGATTGGGTAATTTTTTCCAGGTTTTGGCCAAACAACAAAAGTAGAATGTACCTTCTTGAAAACACAGGTAATTAATTAAATTTTTCATTACTTATTAATGTGTAAGTGTTGGTAATATGATTAATGACAGGTTGGTTCATTGTCATTAGGAGATTTTGTGAGAGTGAATGGACTTCAAGAGGGAGATTTTATCGTGATCTACTCGGACACAAAATGTGGCAAATATGTAAGATTTTTATTTATTTTTAATTATTTTATATATATATATTCTTCATTAACCCTTGAATTATCTTATTTTTGGCTCTTTTCCCATACACGTTTTTAGTTTTTAAAGTTATTTTAATTTCGAATTGAACTTGGCAGTTTAACAAGAGTGGGTTATACACAGTCTAATATGGATAATTCTTGCGCGATCGATACAGATGATACGAGGAGTAAAGGTTCGACAGCCTGGAACGAAATTAGAGGGCAAGAAACCCGCAAGGAGAAACATGCGCAATTTATGCGGTGCTGGTCAGGGATCGCCACTTGCATCTATCAAACGAGCAGTGTGATGAAAGAGTATGAAGAAGAAGAGTCCCTCTCAAAACGTTAGAAACAAATTGGATGTACTCGACGCCGGGTACTTAATTTCGAATCTCTAATTTCTGTGAATCATCTTTTATTTGGCTGCTCATTTCATCCTCGAAGAGAAATGAATGAAAGGCTTTAGTAAAGAATCGTGGAATCGAGAATTAAGTTTTGCTGAGGGTTTCTGATCACTCATTTGCAGGCTTTGTCATCCTTAAACTTTGTATTTGTATTACTACAGACAACCAATGTAGTTTTGTTTTGTAATCTAAATGAGTGGAAACCGCATTCTTAGTAAATTATTGAAGTTTTAACCATTCTTGGCTGTCTTTTGCAAGACGAGGTTTTCCCCCCTTTTGACTAAGTATAAACTTTCATTATTTTGGTGAGAAAATGTTACCAAATTGAGGTTATATGATTTTTTTTTTCTCAAATAAACTACTACTCTATCCTTATAGTGTAGTCTCGACGATTGAATCATCGGTTTTATCTGGGTTTCAATACGATTCTTGACATCTTTTTATTGAACTAGATGATACGATCTGATTTTATAACTTTGAAGGGGACATTTTTAGCTATATTTTATATGTTAGTATGTTTATTTTATTTTATTTTTTTTGGTAGAAGTATGATTAAGAATATCAATGGGAAAATATTATTCGTGAAAGAAGTCACAAGGTGACTAGTAATGGTCAAATGACTCGATAATTGGCGACTTTGGTACCCTTTAATAACTGGAGTTGAATTAAGTTTAAGAATGTTCAATGCATGTGAAATTTAATAGCAATAATTACCCCATTTATGTTCTAAACCTCATTATCTATAATATATTAAATATCACTGAAAATTATTTTTTGGACGATTCTAACACTATTATAATTCAATTATTTCAATAACACTTTACTTTTCATTTTTCAATATGTATTTAGTTTATTTAACCATTTAGTTATCATCAATGTACATGTATATTTGACACATTCATTTCACATATGAACTTTTATTAATATATGAATTTACTATTATTAATTCTCAATTAATTAACTTTCACATTCATTTAATTAATATCCATTTTCATTTATGTATTTTAGCCCCTGTTTGATCCACACTCTTCCCAAAATTCATTCTTTCAATTCTGATTTTCAACCACAAATTTTTCAATAAAATAATGTTACACGCAAACTCAAAACTTTTCTTTATTTTTTGATCACATATTTTTCATCACATCACATCATAAAATGCATTTTCTTTTCAATAATATGCATCAATTAATTTAAATTATAGAATTTCACATTCAATAATGCATTTAATTATTCACGTTCATGTATGCTAATTAACATCTAGTTTTATTTAATTAAAAATTAAATAAATGATTTACCATTAATTGTCACGAATATATTCTTTAGTATTAATTCTAAGTTAATTAACATTCATACATATTCAAATGTTACTTTACAGCACTTATAAAGCATTTCATAATTACGTACAACCCACGTTTAATGTTGACTAGTATCTACAAATACATAATAAATTTTTAATACTAAATATTTTTTTGTAAGTCGAATACAATTAAAAAGAGAGACAATGTTATATAAATATTATTATTTTTTTGTATCACGATGAGGGTACATGCTTAATTTTCGGATTACATTTTGTATGTAACGTGATGTACAAAATACATAGATTATAATTAGAGGTGTTAAATAGACCACGTCGAGTGGACACCCGACACATTTTCAATCGAGCCGAGCCGAGTCATGACCACCTTTTGTGACGTTCCATTTGATAATCAACAAAAAAATGTCGTCAGCTATACTGGCTAGCATTTAGTATTTCTTGCAAATGCGGCATTTGAATTCGTAAGCAACAAAATTGAATTAGGTCACGCAAAAGAAATAGAGAGTGAATCTATTACAGAAAATGTACAATTTTCCCATCATGGCTCCATTGGAGATGATAAAATAAAGAAAATCATTGGGCTCAAGATTTTCGCTTTTCTCCCAAATTTAAATTTCTTACTTTATAATTCAATAATCTTGTCTTCTGAGCTTAAAGCAAGAATCAATTATGCTACACAAATAAGTTCAATGACGGCTAAAAAACAGAAGGAACACGTGTTCATACATGATTGGACAATTTTGAAAAAAAAACATCAACACATACACTGCCAAGTCAATAATCTCGTCTTCTGAGCTTTATAGTTCAATAATCTCGTCTTCTGAGCTTAAATCAAGAATCAATTATGCTACACAAATAAGTTCAATGACGGCTAAAAAATAGAAGGGACACGTGTTTATATATGATTGGACAATTTTGAAAAAAAAAATCAACACATACACAGCCAAGTCAATCAGTCAGTCATTCCGTACTTTATCTATTTTTTAGCCTGTTCAAGTGGCTTTATTCATCAAGAATTGTGTCAATCCATTCATAACTTAGACCTCAATGGTTAAAATCAACAATAACAAAATATTAAATAGTTAAACCGACAATATGAATCACTTTTTTGTTCATCAATTAAATCAAATCGTTCAAAAGCATATTAAATCATCTAAGTTTATCATTTTCTCTCTTTTCTACTAGAAATTATTCTTGTGAATGTAAGCTTTTTTGGGCCTTCAAAATAAACGTTCAACTACTGAGTTATGATTTCTTCAATTTATTCTCATTGGGGGTGTGCAAATTGTTTGAATCGAGCTTACAATATAGTCGACCAGTCGATGATCAACAAAAGTCCCGATCGATGATTTAGAATGAAATCTGAAATATATTAACATAATTTATTATATATACGTGTGAACGTACGTACGTCTAAAAGAAATGTAATAATGACATTAAAGAGTGGTCGCTCATGGACAAAAATAGTGATGTTAGAAAAACCTAACAACAATGGTGACACGAACATCATCTATTTTGGTTAGATTTAAATCCTAATTATAGATTTATGGAAAGGCGTGGTGGTTCCTCACTTCGCAGCAGCTTCGGTATAAAAAGAAAAAGAAAAAATAACAATAATACTAATAAATAATAATAGTAATGTATCTGTAGTGACAATTCCCAAGAGACATGGGTATCTATATAGTATTATTAACGTAAAATGTAAGACTTTGTGATTGACATTTATAATTCCAAGTCAAACACATGGTTTTTGATGTCACACATTAGTTGAAATACTAGCTAGGTTCAATTTAAAAATTTTTAATCTATTTTTTTATATTGAGAGATAAGTTCATAAGTCAAAATTTGCTGATTTATGGCTTTTGAAGGAAGAATGAAGTTTCACACGAGTTCAAGGATATCAATGAACTTTCACACGAGTTCAAGAAAATCATAAGTGGGTGTTTGGTGGGGATTAAAATTAGATTTTTAGTAGATTGTGATAGAAGTTTTTGAAATATGTGGTTGAAAAGATGTGAGACCATTAAAGATTTGATTAATATTGATTTTAATCCAAAACAAACAGGGCCTAAGCCAATTGATTAAGATCAATTTTTGTCTTACACAACGCCCAATTTTATACATGAAAAAATCAAACAATTTATATTTAGTTATTGCGAAAATTGAGATTAAGAGTGTGTTTGATGAATATTATTAAGGAAATAATATATTTTAAATAGTGATATGATGAAAAATATGTGGTTGAAAAGTAAGAAAAAGTTATTGATACTTAAAATATTATTTTATTGAATAATGTTTGACTGAAAATGAGATTTGAAAGAATGCATATCAAACATAAGCTAAACAAAAGTAGGAAAAATAAAGTACTATCGTACTTTGAACGTAATGGATTTTGATAGACAAAGAGATTGTTCTCTTACCAAGAAAGTTGTTGGAAATTTAAGAGGGTGTTTGGTGGGGACTGAAATTAGATTTTTAGTAGATTTAAAAACAATTGTATGAACACTTTATGCATTGATTTATTGGAGGGTTGAAAATTAATAGCATAAGGGCTCACATTTAGGTTAATTTCATTTTTGGTCACTGAAATTTCAGTCAAATTTCAATCAAGTCTTCCAACTTTGATATATCACAATGACATCGCTGAAATTTAAATTACTACAATTTTTTTTTTTCATTTTAAATTTATGATTTTTTTTCAAAGCTAAAGTAAAACTAATAAAGCACATGAATATATATTAGGAAACAAAAATGATCTCTGTTTAAGTTACAACAAATTAGTAAAGTCTATTATTTATTCAAACGAAATTTTGCATTGGAGGAACCTGAATTTAGCAATGAAGATGCAGAAAAGCTTGAATTGTTACTTTGCAAATACAAGCTCATTGTTGATGATGATCCTCCATTGGAGCTCTTAGTTTCTTGTCCATCACTAACTGAGCCTTTGAGATTTGAAGAATTAGCTTTCAAAGTTTCCTCTCTTTCATGCCTTATCTCCTTCAACATTGCTGCTATATCCTTCATCGTAGGCCGGTCACCGGGGGACGGGTTAACACAAAGCATAGCCACTCCTAAGGTTTGCATCATTTCTTCAATCTCGGTTTCAGGTCTAGCTCGTAAGCTTGAGTTGAACACGTCTATTCGATCCCTTTTCTGCCTCACCCAATCTACAATGTGAAGTCCTTCCGGTATGGTAGGATCTATTGGTTGCTTTCCTGTTAAAACTTCAAGTACAACAACACCATAGCTATATACGTCGCTCTTTTCTGTTATTTTCGTCATGTATCCACACTCTGCACATCAAAATGTTGGGAAAGATCACTAGCACACACTAATAAATGCAGTGGAAGAATAGAAGTATATAAGAGTGCAAACCCTTTATAAACCTAAGACCATCACATGTCTAGTTGATTTACGACTTTTGTTCAGACGTCACCAACACAAAGTACAATTTTTGGCTTGTTGAGTTATACATTCGTCTAATTTAGCATGCATACGGGATAGAATTGAACGTGAACGTGTGTTTATCTTGTTTAAGAATGTTAACTCACCTGGAGCAATATAACCGTAGGAACCAGCAACGGTGTTGGAGGACAGACCAAAGCCTCCATCATCAACAAGTTTGGCAAGTCCAAAATCAGCGATATAAGGCTCAAAATCAAGGCCGATTAGAATGTTGTTGGCTTTGATGTCCCTGTGAATAATGGGAGGTACACAATCATGGTGTAGGTAAGCCAAACCTTGAGCTGCGCCTAATATAATCCGGTACCTTATGTCCCACTCCAAGCAGCCTCCACTGCGTTCGTGAAGGAGACTTCCTAGGCTTCCATTAGGCATGTAATCATACATGAGCAACCTCGTGCTCTGATTCCAGCAGCAACCTAAGAACTTCACAATATTCTTATGCCGGATTGAACCGAGTGTCTTAACCTCAGTTGAAAAGGAATCACGAACTCCATTAACCCCCAACCTATCATTTTGACAATTGTAGCCAGCTTCTATTGTAGTTGACCATAACTTCTTCACTGCAATGACTTCTGCGTTATCTAGTTCTGCTCGGTATACAATTCCAGAACACCCTTTACCAATCACATTTGCTTCCACGAGACATTTTAAAACTTGCTCGACTGAGAAATTCAGCTTCTGGAATGGAGTGAATTTCCAAGACATTGAATCGCCGCCTCCTAATTCAGAATCATTATCTGCTTTATTCATTTTTCTAACTCTAAGAAGTGCTAATACTCCAAGAACTGCTAAGGCTACTGTCACAACAACGAGCAACGCAATAGCCAGTTTGAGTCTCCATGAAAATCTAATATTTCTATCATGTGGCATTCCCACACCTTGTACATTGCTTAGGAAACATGAGTCGTGCCCCCCAATGCACAAGCCTTGATTGCCAGAAAGTTCAGTTGTTGATAACTGTCTGAACAGTTTATTGTCCGGGAGATAGCCTGTGAAATTATTATGGGAGACATTCAAGGAAACAAGGTTCACAAGCCCCGAAAGAGCCATCAAATTTCCTCCGAGCTTGTTGTGTGAAAGGTCTAATACATTAAGCTTGTCGAGAGCAATTATCTGGGGTGGAATTACCCCTGTCAAGATATTCCAGCTCAAATTTAAAGCAATTTCTAAAGCCTCAATTTCAAAAATTTCCACCGGGATGCTGCCAAACAGCCCGTTGCTGCTTAAATCAAGCAATTGAAGCCTCGAACAATGCCCCAAGGTCAATGGGATTGCCCCAGATAACGAATTGCCGCTAAGAATGAGTCTGTTAAGGGCAAAAAGTTCACCAAAACTCCCTGGAATTGGACCAACGAATTGATTCATGGAAACATCCAATACCTCAAGCTTACTAAGAGAAGATAGAGAACTTGGCAAATTGCCACTAAGCGAATTGTTGGCAAGGTTCAGCATCTGCAGTTCTTTGCAATTGCCAATTTCATTGGGGAGTGATCCACTTAGATGGTTTTTAGAGAGGTCAAGAAAACTGAGGTTGTTCAAAAAACCAATTTCTTTCGGGATTTGTCCACTGATTTTATTGCCTTCGAGTCTTAAACGAATAAGGGAGTTGCAATCACCTAACTCTTGAGGAATAAAACCCGAAATATCATTAAAAATCAAGAGAAGCTTGGTTAAATTTTTAAGCTGAAAAAGGGCAGGGGGCAAACTACCAGTGAGAGCATTGTGTGACAAATCCAACGCCTGAAGGCTTCTACACCCTGCCAATGCGGCAGGAATGCTTCCTTCAAGCTTGTTACCCCACCCAAAAAACACCTCCAGCTGTGTCAAAAATCCAAGTTCTGATGGAATTGAACTAGAAATCTGATTAGCATCAAACTGAAATTGAATTAAGCTTGTGGCGTTGGAAAGGCTAGTCGGGATAGAACCTGAAATATTGTTGCTACTAAGCATCAACTCTTCAAGATTTGTAAGATTCCCTAAAGACCAAGGAATACTTCTTGTAAAAAAATTCAGTGAAAGATCAAGGATGACCAGACTTTTGATATTCCCAATTTCATCAGGAATAGAGCCCATCAAATTGTTCTGCCATAGCAACATTTTCTGCAGTTTTTGAAGCTTCCCCAACTCTCCTGGAAGTGAACCTGAAAGATTATTCTCATACAAATACAAATCAACTAGCTCTGAACAGTTGCCTAAATCTGGTGGAATCTCCCCTGAAAGCATTGTAGTATAAACTGAAAAAACTTGAAGATTTTTCAACTTACCCAATGAAGCAGGGATAGAGCCAGAAATTTTTGTATCAGCCAAGCCCAGAACTTCCAAATTCTGACAATCCCCAATTTCATCAGGGATTTTCCCTTCAATGTCCTTATTCCCTCCAGCCCTTATAACTTCTAGAGACAAAATTTTTCCCAACTCAACAGGCAGATTTCCACTAAGCTTATTATCAAATACCAGAAGATTTCTCAGGCTGATACAATTCCCAATCTCTGATGGTATTTTTCCAGTGAGTTGATTAGAGTTCAGTATCAAATCCTCCAGTTTTTGAAGCTTCCCAATGGCTCCTGGAATACTCCCCACTAGATTATTTGAACTTATATCAAGGGTTTTAAGAGAAATACATTCCCCAATTTCAGGCGGGATTGTTCCAGTGAGATTTGCACCAGCAATGACAAGTTTTTCAAGAAAATGAAGAGAGGAAAAATTAGAAGGAACGGTTACAGCAAACTGAATGGATTGAATATCAATTTCTGTAACAAAATTATCAGAAGAACATTTAATGAACGCCCATTTACATGGATTTGAGTCTTGTGGGTTCCAATTTGAAAACGAAGAAGGTGGTGAAGGAGAAGAATGGATCCATGAAAACAGTACAAGAACTTCATTATTCGCTGCATTAACATTGTGGGGAAAATTTTTGAGCAAAAGAAGGAAGAAATAGCAGAAATAGTGGAGGAAATTCGTGGTGTTCAAGGTTAATTGCCTCGACATCGGCATTTGCATTTGGCTTCAAATCCCAAACCAGTTGCATTGGGTCTCTCTATATGTATAAGACAGTTTTTCTTTAAGCTCATGCAAATTTGTGAATATATTCAAAAAATATATATATTTAACTACAAAAAAAAAATTCTCAAAAGAAAGAAAATGAAAAAGAAGAGACAATTAATTAAAGAATAGGCAGCTCCACTCCCACCGCCTCCACCTCCTACTCCACCAATTTCTACCTCGGGGTTCTGTGTTCTGTCCTTTCTCTGTATTTTATTATTTTGAACCATGTGTTTTTGCATTGTTTTCCTCTTTTCAATCTACTCTTATCAATGGTTTTGTTTTGGTATTTGAGCCAAACTTATTATTATTATAACAATAAGTTTATTGCAATCTTTCTCTTTATCTTTGAATTCACTTTCATTTCAAAGATTTTTGACTGTAAATTGTTCAAGAAAAATAAGAGTAATGTTATCTTCTGGTTTATGCATATGGATTCTTCTTGTCTTTTTCTATGGCACCCTCTAACGTCTTCCTAATGTTTCAAATGTACCGCTAAAATATACAATCTTCACTCACGTTTGTTACACAATATTCAGAGATTACGTTAATATGATTGAGCTTGAGTCGTGAACTAATAGTATTTCTTAAACTTCATAGAGATGAATAATCAAAAATACAGTAAAAATAATGAGTATTAAAATTTGATGTTTCATCTTAAAAAGTCAAGATTTTTAATAGGAGTAGTTCAAACTCTTATATGCAGATTATATTTAAATATTTAATAGATATTGAATTTATCCTTTAATATGCTCCAACAAGATGGCTGTATATATGTTTGAGCTGATTAATTTTGAAACTATGTGCACATTTTTAGTCTTACTCGATCGAATTTTTCACTGGAGCTTAATAAACTTTGTAATCATCTTAAAACTTAGGCCTTTATATAGTTGTCTATATTTCGATATTTAATCGATGTGAAATTATCATTAACAATGAGAAAATCACTTCAATAATGTATTAAACCTCTGTTTGGTGTAAATTAAAATCAGATTTTTAGTACATTTTGATCAAAATTAGTAAAACATAGGTTGGAAGGTTGTTGAGATCATTAAATGTTTTATTAAAATTAATTGTTGACTTTAACTTGAGATTTTTATTTACACCAAATATAGGTAGCTATTTCAACAAACTGAGCCCCAAAAAATAGCTCGAGCTCGGCTCGTTGACATAGCTACCTATATTTGGTGTAAATTAAAATCTCAAGTCAAAATCAACAATTAATTTTAATAACACATTTAATTAATTTTTAGGCCGAGCTTTTTTGGATCGAGCCGAGCCAAGCTCGGCCAAAAAAAATGAGGTTCGACCCGAGCTTTCGACCTGAGCCTTAGCGGGTTGAGCCGTTCAAGTTTTTTTTTAATGTTAATGTACATTTTTACTTAAAAAATTTAAAATTTGTACGATTTATAGATACTATAAATTAAATAAAAAAGTTGGTGCTCGACTCGAGCTTTTTGGGCCCGAGCCGAGCCGAGCAACGCCCGAACAAAAAAATGAGGCTTGGCCCGAACCTTGATTCGGTGTAACTGAGCCCAAGCTGGGCCCGGCTGAAGTTTTTTCTGAGTCGAGCCTGAGCCGCCGAGCTTTTTCCTAAATATAAGTTAAATATTGTAGCTTTTTACGAAAAAATTAACAAGTTTCTTTGAAAAATCATTGCCAAAAATTCTTAGAAAAAACGAAAAGTAAAAAGGGGCATCTCAAATTGCATAAAATGATGATTGAACTAAGGTGAAACAGGTTTACTTAATTAAGAGTAAAAAAACTAGGGAAATTTAACATCTTCCCATACTTTGAGGCAGACCTTGTGGAAATAGGATACTCAAATTCAACCAAGACTACTTTTGTAAAGACACCATATTGTATAATTATTGTTTTAAGAGACAGAATGGTACAAATAATTACTTATGTATGGCATAAATAATGACCTTGACAAACCTAAGAACATGGGTGGGTGCCCTAGGCCCAAGGCTCTAGGAGGTGACCTTGGGAACTTCCAATTATGGAATCTATACACGTTTTGTTTTGCCTGATGTCTAAGCTTTGTCTTTAACCTAGCCTATGTTGGGGATTATTTTTTCTCCTTAAATTTTATTTTTAAAATTAACTATCTATTTTAATTACCCATTTGATAGTGTTTGATCGTTTGATTTCCTGCAAGTGAACGAGATCGTGAACAAGAAATAAAGTAGTGAATATCATATCGAACCCACGAGGACTAAGTATTTGATATAGTTAAAATTAATTGTAAGTTTAATTGAATAGCAAATATTTTTTGTGATTTTTCTATACTAATATCTAATTATCAATTAAACTAATGAAATTATATAAATGTGATTTTCAAATGTGTGAGATGCATTGCTAAGATGTCGAATCTTTCTAATTATTTCATTTTTAGTGTAACAATTAAAGTGACCAATTGAAATCATTTATGTCGGTCAATATTCCTAATTTAATTGAAAACCTCTCTCGATAGCAATCAAATATATTCCTCTCATGTGACAATTCTATCTCTCGCTACAAGATACAAACATGATAAATGCATTAACAAATACTAGAACACCTATTGAAACCATATAAAGCATATAGGTATATCTCTATCCTCTATTAAACCTTACAATATTTATTATAATGTACTTAAACCTTATTGTCTCTCTCGATAATAATAAAATCCACTAACAATTCGTTGGTGATCAAGCAATTGAAAAGAACGATAAAAACAATAATAAACATCCACAAATTAAATCAAATTAAAGTCAGAATAATTAATTAAAAACTAAAAATATCGTAACAAGGGTTCATCTCATCCTAACAATGTATAAAATTAACCCAACATATCGAAATTATAACAAATCATATTTAAGTGAAAAGATAAAATCCAGATTTTTGATAAATTGAGAAGATTGAGATAAATCTTGAAATTTTGAATATCTTCTATGATTTCCACTTGCGTCTTTTCTTCTTTACCCAAAAATCAAATTTGAATCTTCACTTGATTAAATTCTTGCAAATTCCCTTGAATTCTCTCACAAAATTATGAATTATCCTTCTTTGATGATAATAATTGATGAATATTGGAGTATGAGATGTATATGAGAGGTCCTCAATATGTATTATGCTGCTATGTATTTGTAGGAGTCGAAAATTGGTTGAAAATTAAGTCCAAATTGACTTCTAAAAGAGTTCCAATCGAATAAGGAAAGTTGCATTCGTGTGTGAATTTTTTGTCTCTATACACAAGTCAGTATTTTGGCCATAACTTTCTCTTCCAATATCCGATTTAAACGATTCAAAGTGCGTTGGATAGATAACTCGAAGGGCTACAACTTTAATAGAAATAGAATTTTCCCAATTCGAACTTTACTATGCCTAAAATTGGTCTCAATCTTCGACTAAAAATCTAGAATATAATTTGTGCAATTGGAAATTGATTTTAATCATATTCCTTTCCTTTTTGAGTTCTAATTACATCCAATTGTCACCTAAAAATCTTCAAAGTATCATCTTATGGTCCGAATCAACTATTAAAATTACAATTTGATCATCAAACTTTAAATTTTGCCATTTTTTTTTACCAATTTTCACTTCTTTCTTTCTATTACTTGTTCAACCATTGAGTTTTACTTATATAACATAAAATACAATAATTTAAGATATATTTTGTCAGAAGAACTATAAAATATCGTTATTTAGACCCCTAAATAAGTGTATAAAATACACGTATCAGTGTTCATAAGTACTACCTACTTGTCAATTACTCATTTTTTAAAAAGAAGAATTTTAATAGCAAAAATTGAAATCCAAAAAGATCATAAGTACTGTCTACTTATCAATTGCTCATTTTTAAAAAGAAAAATTTTAATAGCAAAAATTGAAACCCGAAAAGAAGCTTATACGTGTAAAATTCACGAACCAGCTCATTGAAGAAGTGGATCATGTTGAGTTAGATTACAATGTATAAAAATATAAACAGAGAACTTTTCTTTCTTTATGCAAATTTTAGATTAAATGATTTAATTGGGTGGTAAGTGACAAATTCATGTAAATCATGATACATCCGTATATGATGTAGTCAATGTTAAAAGAATTGCAGAAACACCTTCTCATCACTTGTCCAATTGCATGACCATCGATCATTTTTATTCCTTTGGAATTCACCAATGCAAATTTGGGATGAGCGACGATTCCATATTTACATTTAAATTCAAAATTAGAAAAAAAAAAAAAATCACTATCTCCAAATACATTTTCTCCAAAATTTGGCTTCCGTTTGAGTCTCATTATCTGAAAACTCATTTTCAACTACACATTTTACTAATAAAATAATTTTCACGTAAAATCAAAAAAATTTCCTATTTTTTAACCACGAATTCTCTAAAAATAACTATTAAAAAAAATCCATTTTTCAAAAAAATGGAACTCAAACAAGGGCTTGTTTTTTATGAAGTCCAAACAGGGGTTAGCTTCTAGTGAATATTCACGAGATCTATGCGTGGAGCTTTTGAATATATGTTTGAGGTTTTAATGTAGTAAAAGATGCAGACTGAAAGAGCTGTTAGTAGTAATGGAGAAGATGAAGAAAGAAAGAGCCTTTAGTTTTAAATTTGAATTGGGATGAGTTGTTTTTTCTTTTGTAATTGAAAGGATATTAGGCTATGTTTGATAGCCCTTCTTTTCTATGGAAATTTCCATTTTCCATTTTTATTCCTTGAACAATCATTGGTGTCAACGACAGCAGCTACACTTAGCACATTGACCCACTAGTAGTCGCAATTTGCCCAACTGTGACAGCACTTTGAAAATATTAGTTTAGGTTGTAATTTTCCTTCTATTTTAGTTTTTTATTTCATTTGTAAAATAACCCTCCTATTTGTAAGCATTTATTATGATTTCTCGTCTTTTAAACATGTACTCTTTGACACTTAAAATTTTTGTTAAGAAATTGTAGGGGGTATGAGGTATTTAAAAGTCTTGTCAAGTCCACTGATATTCACCTCTAACACCAGTAATTGTAATTTTCTGCTTTTATCAATCAATGAACAATTTATTTTCAATGCCTTCAAATTCTCTATTACAAAGCTTTCTTTAAATTGTATTCAAATTGTCTTTCGTATAGAGAAAATATTGAAGATACACGCTACTGCCACATGGTGCTTCTTTCTGTCTAAGAAAAAAGGTGCCCATGAAGGAGGTATCAGAGTTGCGGCTCTCATCCCTCGATAAGAAAGTCATGAATCTGAATACGTCACACACTATAGCAAGAAGAATTTTGGACAAGTACAAATAAGAAAACCTTCATTTTCATAACATGTAGATCCTCTGGGAAAATGTGAATTATGCACCAAAGAGTAAATTGTAAATTTAGGGATTTACTTTCCTCGGAAAAATCAGTAAAGTGCTGTAAAATGATTAGAGGTTTTTGGACTTTTGCTAGACGAACGAGTAACTTTCCTTCGATTAGTTGCCTTTTTTCATGTATTTCTCTTTTTCCCCTTGGGATAATTAACAGAATTTGGCGACCGTTATGATATGTTCATCAATGGTAACGGTCATCATAGAGGTGTAAATACAGGATTGGTCGAGTCTTGTGGGTGGCGCATCTGAACAGACAGGTTACACTGTGCTTGGCTCTCCAGAATCATTACCATATAGCTCTTGTAAGAGAGAGAACACGATCATAAACATTTTACTAAACTCCACAAACATTCATGTAGATACAAAGCAAAGGTGTCGACTTCATTCATTATCCCTTCTTGGCAGGTTTCACAAGATAGATTGGATAGTAGTCAAAAGTATTGCGAAAGAAAAAGAAAGTTACATTTATTCATTATATTGCGTAGTTTTATCCAGTACGTCATGACCTCGATGCATGATGTAAAATCATTAATCTTCCATGCTGATTATGCATCGCAGGCCCTCTCCTTTCACCATGTACTCAAAGGCCTTGTTGATTTCAGAGAACGAAAGGCGATGAGTTATGAACTTATCCAGCTCTAGTTTCTGTATGATGACGATAAATTAAAATTGTAAAGCTATTAACCATAAGCATTTCGTAGAACACGTGGATGGAAAGTACTAAGTTGTAAAACATATATATAACCGAACCTTGTTCATGTACATATCAACGACTGATGGAAGATCAGTCCGAGGTTTGTAATTCCCGAAGAAAGTTCCTTTAAGTGTCCTCTCGTTCAATAGATTAATAGGCTTGGTCATGAAGACTGCATCTTTGTTGGGCACGCCAACAAGTACAGCGACGCCCCATCCCTATGTGATACACAAGAACAAAGAACCATAAGCACTTGAGGAATCCATAAAGAGCACTCTGCTATAAAAGCTAATACAAGAGACCAGAATCCAAGATATTTATAAATTCTTTTGATCTTAGGAATCAACAAACTTACATCATGGACGCACTCAAAAGCAGAAACCATGACATTAACGTTACCCGTACACTCCACACTCCTGTCAACACCTCCATTTGTCATCTCTGCAATGACCTGTTGGGTTCATGAATAACGGAACAAACCAGATTAGAAGCTATGGCACATACGCGCAAATGAATGTCTCGAGGGAGACAGTTACCTGTTGAACTGGTCTGTCATGTTCCTTAGGATTGACGAACTCTGTAACTCCAAATTTCTTGGCTAACATTATAACAATACAGTTGATTAGGAGTCAGGTTTTCACTTTAAAACAATTTTCCGTATGAAAGATGGTATGAAAATAGAAAATCTACCTTCGTCAAATCTTTTTGGGCTCAAGTCAATTCCAATAATTCTTGATGCCCCAGCAATTCTCGCACCTTCAGCAGCCTGAAGAAAAGGAATTCGAAGATAATTGTTTGGTACATGGTACATAGTACTAAATATTATAGTTATCCAATATTCCCTACCAAATATAGACTATGTTGTGAAAAGCGGAGATGATACCAAATTAATTCAATGCCAAGTTGTTGGAGAAAATAAGATATTATAGCCACAATATAAAGTAATTGATCACAAGAATACAAGAATAAAATAATTTGCAAAGAATGAAGATTTTATAATAATATGGAGAAAGAACACAAAAAATTTGTGTTTATGTTTTGTCTAACTTATAATGGGGATAAACAAACCTCCGATAAGGTTAAACCAGCCTATAATGAAGTTAACAACCCATAACAGGGTAAAACTAACCCAACTAAATTGTAGAGAAAAGTCAAATATATATAGGGAACAATCAAAGCCCTAGAAGTAGAGTTGTAAATAAAATAGAATGCCTAATAGTTTTCTTATCTCGATCTCTTCAAATCTAACACAAATTTCAACTCCCAATAGGGCTTCCAAATAAAACTGCAACTAGAATTTGCCAAATAGACTTCGAATAGGATTCCAAAAGCATTCTAAATAGAATTTCCTCTTAACGTGCAATATAATTAGAATTCTCAATTATTTTCAACAAAGAATTCGGGTCACACCAAATTCTAACAGACTACACATGTAAATTAAGCACAGAAAAAAGTTTCATGTCACCAACAGCTAAGCCAACTGCTCCCAGCCCAAAAATGGCAACAGATGAGCCCTTTTTTGGTTTTGCTACATTCAGAGTTGCACCTAATCCTGCAAGTGTAGACAACAACACGTATTTAAGTTTACATTATCAAATATGAAATCTATCCAAGTACAATTGAAATATTTCTTAATGAGAACATGTTACCAGTTGAGACACCACAACTAAGGATACAGATTTTATCCAGAGGTGCCAATGGATTGACTTTTGCTAGACAGCCAGAATGAACAACTGTGTACTCACTGAAGGTCGATGTACCAAGAAAATGATTTATCGGGTTCCCATTGATCGAAAATCGAGACTTTCCATCGCTAAGCATAACCCCTCTATCTGTGTTTATTCTCAGAAGGTCACACATATTACTTTCCTGAGACTTGCAGTGTGCACAATCACCACATTCTCCCGTGAACACTGGAAGCACATGATCACCAACTTGGAGGTCCGATACTCCTTCACCAACACTCTCTATTATTCTGTTAAGAAGAATAACTGAATAAGAGATAAGAGAAAGAGAAGAAGATGAGGAGAAGAAATGAACTTGGATAATGATTTCTGGATGTATGCTCTATGCAATGCTAAGGGGAATTAAAAATACAATTGAGGATAATAGGATTGGGAATAAAATTTGATTTAGACTAGAAACAAACAACATACCCAGCAGCTTCATGACCAAATATGCGAGGAAATAATGGTGTTTGTCCCTGAAAATGCAAGTTCAATCTCTTTAGATTCCAAACTATGGAACGCATAATGCTACCCTCTGCTTGAGGGGATTAATGATGCTAAGTAAATTATACAGATAGCATTAATACATAGTTAAAAATTAGCAACAGACTTGTTGTTTTTATTGCATACATAAGGTCCCTTCTCATCTCGAGGGACAAGTCCCTTTCTGCCATATGCATAATATTAACCTGGAGACTTGTACACTATGCTAAAAAAAAAATTGACGAACGACTTGCCATTATTAATATAGGGTGATGTAAAATGCCGTTAACTCTAATACAGTAAGAAAATATCATGGAACCTTAGCTTCCCAGAAGTAGAGATCAGTGTGACAAAGTGAGGTGTACTTAATTTTGACCCTCACTTCCATTGCTTGTGGTGGTGCAACCTCCACTTGCTGTATCACCAATGGTTTTCCCGCTTCCCATGAAACTGCAGCTGCAATTACACATAACAATCTATTAACTACACGTCCTAAAACCGGACCTTCTCAACAATTATAAGGCCAGATATGTTACTCTAGATATGTTCCATGTTGCCAAGTCAAAGGTTTTGATTTTCAGCTTTATAATTATATAGGTATCCTCCATTTACAAGCCAGTTTTAAGGGGGAGTTTTATCTAACTCGGTCTCAAATAAGTTATTAACATGAAACCTCTTATCACTTGCGCAAATGGAATGGTATCCCAGGCCGCTGCTATCTCTATTCTTGCGCTCTCCTTTTCCTGCGCAATTTAGGCGGAAGCCGAAGAAGGCCTCCCCAGTCATCTAATAAAAAGAGGATGGGAACGAATACTTTACGGAGAGCCGACAAGGAACTCCATTAATAATGGGGGATGATTCTAGTTGCGCACGAGTGAACTAGGGAAGGGGTAAAATGGTTCCCTGAAGTCAACTAGTTGGGAATATGGGCTGCCGTGGCTGCAAGAAAATGTAGAATTTAACAACTCTTTACTCTATCCTACATCCCTAAGCTAAAATTATATTGTAGGCTTATAACCACTTGAGTGCACTTTAGCTAATAGGCCGATTTTGAAGGCGAGTTCTATCCACATTGTCATCAATTTTTCTGTAGTCGTTTCGATTCAATTACCAGGCCAAAAATCAAAATGAAAACCTTCTCTGAGGAACAGTATATATATATTAAAAAAAACAGCAATTTTGAACTCAAAATTCAAAATAATTAGATCATTTTGAGCAAGAATTCCACGAACCCATATTGAGAATTGGGTCCAATCCATCTAGAAATACAGTCGACATGAATAAAACCTAATTTTCTGTTTCCCATTTCAAAAAATAAAAAAACCACCAAAGCTTTCCGTAAAAATTGAGAAAAAAGGCTAGATGGGCACTAAGAACATACCTTTGCATGGGATCACAAGACCAGCAGTATTTGACATGGATGAATATCCTCGAAAATGAAGAAACTTTTAACCCCAAAATTACAGGATTGTGTTAGATGCCTAATGGAATGTGCATGAACAGATGAACTTTGGATATTTTATAATTTTTATTCACTTTGGGGTCCAAGATTTTTTCAAGAACCACACGTGAATTGCCCATTGGATCAGATAGACAAAACAAATCACTATTAGAGATAATATGTTCAGTTTATAATTTACAATTAAAAATGAACATAATTAAAACTCGGGAAATATTTTTCAGAAAAGAAGTGCTAATATTAATTAATTTTAAGGTTGTTGCTGGTGTTGATAAACCCTGTTTGGTGCAAATTATAATTCAGTTAAAATTTTTAGTAAATATCAACATTTAATTTCATCCAGATATTTTATACAATCTCCACTTTTCAATTACGCTTTTCATCAATTTTTATTGAAATATACTAAAAATCCGATTTTATTCCACGCGGGACAATTGCATACTTTAATTTTATATAGTCTTCCATTGAAGTCAATCTGTGCATTATCATCGTTTTTGTGTTACAATAACCTACATTTTATTTCAACAAGCATGTAACCATATACAATAAAATCTCGATAGCTTAATACTCGATAAATTAATAACCTCCGTTAATAATATTTTTCGCGATCCTGACTTGTAGTTAGGATAATTTTCGAAATTAATAATTCGCAAAATTCATAACTTAATATATTATAAAAAATTATTATAGATCAGGAAATATATGAACAAGTAATTTCCTTGTACATAATGCTTATGATTCGACTAATTTTGGTAACTTCTCTTTTCTAGTACGATTTTCTCATTCTACAGTAAATATTATTTGATAGTATCAGAGCTTTAAGAGCTTCTTTAGCGAAACGAGCTCCATAGTAGAACATCATCTTGATCATTCCCATGATGCTCTCAATTATGCATTCGCAACTCAATGTTTCTGAAGTGACATCGTTTTCTCCAAGGTGTAGTACAAGAGGTCCTCAACATCAATTTCATTACGATAATTCTACTATTTATTTCCATTTTGCAGTTCTTGAATGACTCCACCATCTAATGGTTGATCCAAATTCTCTAAAGCCATGCTATCCGTAGATTAAATTTTGTAATGTCGAAAGCCATTTGCAATTGTATTAGCCTAAACATATAGTCAAAATTGTAAGATTCATTGCATCTAAAACATTTATCTTTTCTGGATTTGCTTCTCCTACTTCATAACCGACCAAAACACAATGATAAAATTGAGGATGATAACTATCTTGAAAGCTCGCATGATCCTCGTGTCACAAGGGATGTTGGGTTTGGTCTTTGGTGGCAAAATAAATAAATAAATAAAATCAACATTTTACAATTCTTTAGTTGTTTTGGATGAGCACGACAATTATCAACAAAAAAACTTTTATACCTGATATGTGCAATTTTGTGTGACCCAAGAGTCCTGACCTCATGCTCGGGGTTGA